AAAGACTTAAGGTTTTTTTGACAGGAGCTATTGAAGAAGCTTCATTAATATTTTCTACTGGAAAACTCTCACAAGAACAAAAGTTTTTTTTCTATTTGAATAGTGTCTAATTTGATTCAAAACTGTATGCAAAAGATTGAATAAATCCTCTAATTATGAGGGGGTGCTGAAAAGCCCGAGCCATTTCCAAAATCTGATAAATGATCAAATATCTGATGTTTAAAACACAAAACCTTTCAGTACCCTCTTGTAAAATTTTATTAGATCTTTCATATACCATTAAGAACATTTACACTAAATAGTTGCATTTTAAAATGGCTGATAATATGTACACTGAGATCTTAAAATAAATAAAAGTTGAGAGTGAATCCCATATAGAATAAACCTTTACTTTTGAGGAATTTGACCATCACTGTACATCATACAAATGTATTCATATCCATATTGACTTGGTTAAATAGATTTAACCTCAAGGGGATTTTCACTACCATTTCAGTAAACAGTTTAATGAATATTTTTCTATAGCAAATGAAAGAATTAACTGCAACAATAAATTGTAAGAGAAAAATAAAGGTTTGTTAAAACTAGCAATATATTCAATTAGTACAAGAACAGGTTTACAAAAATGTAAATATATTAACTAGCATGATTAAAATAAAAATAAATGAATATATAAAAATACTAGGTAAACAAGTAATCTACAAACATCACAGGGAATCTATTAAATGATACTATATAAACCAGCTTTTATTTTTATGTTTTGGCAATCTATGAACCTAAGACAAAGATTTCAGGAATCTGAATAGCACAGAAAAAAAGTTTGCACATTTAGTCATACAATGTTTATATAAAAAATTTTTTGTCTTGATACTTTTACTGACAGTATGGTGACATACTCTACATTCTCACAAGAAACCATAACTATCAGTTAAAGGTTCATATTTCAAAACAAATTAATAATTCAAATAGAATTAAATTTTACTTAATTTTTTTTCAATTCTTATTAGTTAGAAAAACAAAACAAAAAACACAAAAAGAAAGATATCTATATTTATACAATAAGCAAAAAACATGTCCAAAAGTTTATGAAATCATTCAAACGTTAATTATCAATTAATTCAATGCTGACATCATAAAAATAAAAATAAAAGTACTTAATTGATCTGTAAGAGTCAGATATTTGCATTTTATACATTTAATCCTACAGAACCAGATCCCTGAGAAAATTTTAAAATTATAGTTGCATTTGACCATAACTGACATCAGATTGTTTAAACTATAAAATAAAGTTGAGTGAATCCTATACAGAATAAATGTTTGAGAAAATTTATATTTGCATGTTAAAAAAGAAAAAAATTACATTTACTACTACACAAATACTAATTTTCTAAGGGGCTAAATCTATTTTCATGCTTAACTAATATTAAATCAAACAGAATAAAATACAACTGAAATATTCAGGAAAAAAAGATTTTTGTTGGGGTGGGATATAAATGAAAATCTCTTGCAGATTGAAGAAATCATATCTTAGTCATAACCAAAGATAACAAAAATTGCCACAAAATTTACTTTTTGAAGAAAAAGAGCGCGATTCTACAAAAAATGAAAAGCATGCAGTAGCAAGGTTAACACTTGTTTGCATAAATCATTTTAAATTCATATTTCCGATTAAGGCACAATACTGCTAAAATACATTCCACCTTCAATAAATGCTCTATAAATAATGCAAGATTATTGAAAGGCTCTTTTGGTAAGTAAAAATATCTTCAGCTCAGAGGGGGAAAGAACAATTACTCTAGCAATCGAGTTATATCAAATCTTACTGGGAAGAGGTTTATATTTAAGAGACCAAATATTTAATTAATACACCATTTTCTTGAAAGTAATTTTACTGTTTATATTATTAAAAGGTTTTTAATTAAAAATATGAAATTTTTATAAAAACTCTTAGCTTTTGAAGTTAATGATAGAAAGAGAAAACTGAAGAAATTGTTAATAAACTAACTCAATTTCAATACTATAGTTTTATATCTATTCATTAAGAATATTATGAAACAAAAAGCAAAGTGAAATTCAAAAATACTAATATATAAAACGTGAAATTTCATTTTAATACAAAACAGTCTTTCAGATATCAAATTTGTATCAATTTATAACAGAGTTAAATAGAGGAAGAATGTAAATTTTCACACAAATTAGGATTCACTACCAAACATTAAAGAAATACACAACAAATTTTGCTTTGGTCATCTAACCATATATTCCCAACATCTATTGGGACAGACAAGGATTTGAGGCCAAGTTTGTGAATATACAGTTTTTTTTTTGTTTTTTGTTTAAATGACTAAGTACAAAATTGAATTTGTTTTCATATTTGACAAGATGGAAGAGAGATTATCAAATGTTTGTTACTAAAATAGTGAAAATCAACTTAGAATAAAAAACAAACTAAGCAAGAGAAAGTTATTGCATGTTGTCAAGGAAAGAGATGGACAGATTTTATAGTCAACAGATTTATGACAAGTGGGAGGGGGTGTTTAAAAGACAATGTAACATTTGAAGCTGAAAAATAAAGAACAAATATTCATTCATAGAGCAGCTTCCAACCGGTTACTCAAATTTGCCAGCCAATAATCTTTTTGCAAGAATTAAAGGCTGAAGTCTGCTCAGAAGCAGAACACTATGCTTTATTAGAGGAGGCGAAGGAGAAACATTAAGGTCATTGCCAAATGTGAATTCGAGAGGCAGGGATTAACCTTAGCCAATAAAGTGTGATAGTACCAACTGATGATTAAATCCTGCATTCAATCAACTAAGTGAGACATTGTTTTTTTTCAAATTGGATCAGGAGATAAATAAAGGGATCAATTTTAGCAAGAGGAAAGAAACAGGCAAATAATTTATGGACTTATCAAAGATAGAGAATGTTAGAAAAAAATAAAATAAAAAATAAGAAAAAAAAATAAAGTAATAATTTCTATTGAAATATGGTTTAATTCAAAAGAATTAAAAAGTGTTCTGATGTGGCAAAAAAAATTAAAGAAAAGCATTTATTCAGTTATTCTATCATTTTTACTAAGTTTATGAAAATGCAGTACTGACTGATGATGTATTTCAAGTTCTTTGCTGCTGTTTATAAGATGTAATGTTTGGACGGACATATGTGACAGCAAAATATGCCATAGAATTTAAACAAGCAGAGGTTAACAGAAGCATATCTTTTGAAATTACAAAGAGATATTTGTCAGCTGAAGGATTTCCATCAAAGTCCCACAAAATTAAAAAATAAGTAACCTTGCTTAAATGAGAAATAGAAAACATGAGAAAAAGAAATTTATTGGTAAATATCCCTGGAATAAACATTGGTGAAATATTTTATATGAAGGTGCAGTTTGACCTGAGATAATTTGAAAGAAATAAAAATTAAAAAAAAAAAAAAAAATTTGGAATAAATTTAACATTTATAAATTTTTCATCAATATTGAGCAACCAACTGAAGTAAAAAAAATAAAATAAATAAAAATAAATAAAAATAAAAAAAATAAAAATAAAAAAATGAAAAATAAAAATAACCCATTTTCTTGGGAATGAAAACTATAAGTCAGATGTTATACAAGTAAAAGATCTTTACTAAATTTATCTAAGGAAACAATATCATAACATATCAAATGTATCAAATGTTTTCTCAGCTTTTTTATTAAAGTCAGTATCATAAATAAAATGAAACATCCACAGTGTCAATAAAAATTATTCAAAATGATTAAAATAATCTCTTAGGTTTTTTTTTTATTTTATAAAAATACTTAATTTAATGTTTTTACTAAAATGTAGAAGAAATGTGTGCACGGTGCACAAAAATAGAAGCATTTTATGCACGTCTCATCCAGAATCAAAATACAGCAATTAAATGCTTCTCATTGCAAAGAACATACAATATTGAAGAACAAGGATTTACTTTCCCAAAAATCTGCAGCTTTTGTTGAATATAAAATGCAATTAAGACAAATTCTTAAGAATGTATGAATAGTTTAATACATGGCTTGACAACAAATTGAAGGGTAGGATCACTTTAGATTATGCAGAATGCCTTTCATTATTTTAATTCCTTTGTAATTATAAAAAATAAAACAAAAAAAATAAGAGAAAAAAAAAAGAAAAAAATAATTAAATAAATTAGAAAAATTAGTCCATCTAATTTTGGAACATATGATTACAACTAACATTCAAAAATAGTCTTATGGTATTTAGTTAAAAAAAAAAAAAAAAAAAAAATTATTATTTATTAAGTATACATCTCACTCTCATACATAGTTACAAACAGATTTCATAAATTGAGCCATGAATGATTTGTGTTTGAAATAAAAAATGAATTTGTAATAATTAAATCAACTACTAACATTCAATACATATATTACTTGATTTTAACAGCACTGTTAAATTTAAGAGACTAAGTCTAAATTAAAAATCAATTATAGGATTAAGAATAAATGTAAACTTAAGTCAACAATGAAACAATGTTTAAGTGTTTCTTTTAAATCAGAAATTCGCATATTTTATTAAAGGGATAATCCCAAACCTACAAAATCATACATGTCCAGGAAAATGTATTATGAGGAAATTTTTTTTAATGGATTTGATATAGTCTTTAAATTAATGTTAAACAGTTTCTCTATTAATGGATTTTAAAAAAAATTCTTCCAAATTTTGAGAATAGAATTTGAAATGATCCCTTTAATTTTATCATATAAAGAATGTTCACCGTATTGAAAGGGAAGCATACAACATCCATACAGTCATGTATTCAGAGTATAAAAATCCACAACCAAAGTGGACATAAGATTTCAGATGTGAAACAGAAATAAAGATTTTTTTTTTTATTTTATTTTTTTATTTTTTTTTTTTTTAGTGATTTTGATATCTGCCAGTTCTCATGAACTGTAGAAAATTTAATCAAAGTTTAATAGTGTTGGGGAGAGGGGAATTGTAAGTTAATGCGGCTGCTAATATAGATAATCTAGTTCTGTATGGATAAATTGTTTCAGTCTCTCTAAGTACTGTCCATAGAGTTCGACATCATTGTGGCCAGCACCTTCGACCCACAACGGTTCCACTGCTCTTGGACAACGTTCATATATAGCCAGGCCATGTGAAAAGTCAATCACCTCATCATCAGTTCCATGAATAACCAAAACAGGAGAAGAGATCTTGGGGACTTTATCAATACTGAAAAACAAAACAAAAAAAAAAAAAAAAAAACATTTTAATTACAATAATAAGCAAAAAGACAAGTGAAAAGCAAATAAGAAAGGAAGAAAATATAAGAAATTAAATAACTGTTACCGGGACAATAACCCCTTTTTTCTTGCAATTAAATTTCTAAAATATTCCAGTAGTATTAGGAAATAGTTGTCTTCAGATTTATTGCAATTCTTGTGGTCCTTGTTAATGGGATGCCTAATGGCACACTAGTTCACATGAAAAATTGGTTGTATAACATTATACAGGGTGTGATAGGTAAATTGTCACTATAAGTTTTGCACATGTGTGTTTATTTTTTTATTTTGTCAACTGAACAGCATAGTAGGGTCAGTTGGGTGCTGTCTGATAAAAAGAACACCATGACTCAATTTACTCATCCAGAAATTTGAAAACTGCATGCTGTACAGCTTGGCATTTGTGGAAGCTCCAATACGAACATTTCACAGTGTTTGGGTGTCAATCTGAGGACAGTGCAGAGGATTCAGAAAGAGTCTAATAGTGATTATGAAGGAACAGCTGCTCAAAAAACTCGCTGATTGCTCTTAAAAAAAAAACAAAAAAAACAAAAAACAAAAAAAAACAACAAAAAAAACTTATGAATTTGTTGGCAAGGGTATCAGACTCAACACAGAGGCCTACATCAAGTGCCTTGAGGAAGTAGTGCTGCCTTAGGTTAAGATATGGTCTTCTAGCAGCCACTACATCTGGCAACAGTATTCTGCACCATGCCACACAAACAGAACCTAATCATGGTTGTCAGATAATTTCTGTGATCATATAACTCTTTATATCTGGCCATCTAACTCCCCAGACTACATCCCCTTCATTATGTGTGGGGCACCATTAAGCAAGAGACCAACTCCTTGTAACACCAAAGAATAACCAAAGGCAAGGATTATGGCAGCATTCACCAACTTCAAGAAGTCTACAGGAGATTCCTAATTCATCTGGAGACAGTGGTTGAAGACAAACGTGATTTTATTGAATACATATAAAGGGCAGGTGAATATCTATATACATATAAAGGGCAGGTGTGTGTGTGTGTGCGTGTGTTTGGCTGAAACTAAAAAACTACAATAGTTTATGACAAAGTAAATATGTATACAGACTCGGTATTATCCAAGCCAGCTTTTTGTAAAAAAAATTATCATTGTATGATTTGTATTTATGAAGATATTTTAAAATTAAAATGCATTAGAATGCCTTCAAAATTCTCAGAATTAAAAAGCAAAAACGAATGGTAATAATTCTTATTCTAGATTAGGATAACCATTCGTTTTTACTTTTTTTTTTATTCTGCTAAACACTATACATGTATGTATTTTTTAAATTTCTATTCTCTTGAATTCATTTTCAGATAAATTACCAATAATAAACTATTATTCACAAATCTTCCAAGCAATGCCAGGTATCTCCGCTAGTTACTTATATCTCTGACTTTTCAATTTTTTTTTTTTTTTTTAAATCAGAATATGCCTAATTTTATCAACAGGTTTGATGTGCCTATGGATTATGCTTTTGATTTTTTATTAAAATTTCATCCTTTTTGTAGGTATGGTGCATTTTATAGGTTGATGGCAGAATTCATAATTTTACCTTTAGAACTAGGGTTTATATTATTAAAATAGTTCAATAGTTGATTGCCAACAAAATAATTAGGGAAACCATTATTAATAAGTATTTGATTTATATTATTACTTAATTCCTCAAGTAAAAAATTGTTCTGGAGGAGATTAATCTGAAAAGCTAAATTATTAATGATAGCAAGTTGGAGCTCTTTGTGTGTGTGTGTGTGTGTGTGTGTAAGAAAAAAAAGAAAAAGAAAAGAAAAGACCCCTAAAAAGAAACTGAATTCACACACGCACACCTATTAAGATAATTCTGCATATGTAATTATTTATTTATGCAGAACTATTTCATATTGCCAAAGATAAAAAAAAAAAAAAAAAAAAAAACCACATACCATTTTCACAAATATTCACAATGAAAAAGTTAAAGCCAATTTTAATTGATCATGATTTAAGACTCAAAGAGTAATGGTCAGTTCACAATTTTAGAACTATTTTAATATTAACATAAAAAGTATCTTTAAAATAAAACATCTATTTCTGGTAAGTTCAACTGTGTAGAGTTGAAATATGTAGAAGTAATGTTCTCTTAGAATTTTCTTTTTACAAAGACAAAAATGTAGGTGAAAAACGTAGGGTCTGTATGTGAGAGAAATCAAGTCAGCTTTTAGAGCCAAAGAAAGATAGGACCTGTAAAGAAGCAACCAAAAGATTTTGGCAAATTACCATTGACTGGGTGGAAGAAAATGTTGGGGGGGGCGAGGCTAAAAAGAAAAGTAAAGCAAGCATCCAATTGTTGTTAACATGCACGCATAGGCAAGGCATAAATGCCAGAAGTAATATAAACAAAGTCTAAGGAGAAGTCTACATTGAACCCAAATGGCAGAGGGAAGGAACTATCAAAGAATGTGTTTCTGCTAAAATGAAACCCAACAGTAGAATGAATTATGAAAAGCAAAATGAACAAACCTTGGTTCTTTGTAACAAGAATCCATTAACTATTTTTTATTCATCTGGATGGTTTTTTTTCTTAAAGAGAACAATCACCTTGCATTAAAAATTTGATAACTGCAGCATCATGGAACAACGAATGGTTAAAAAAAATTTATATGGTAGTTAATTTTTTTTAGTTCATTCATATAGTAAAATATATAGTAAATTTATTTTCATCATATAACAAATTTAAAACTTCCTGATTTTTTGTGCGGCACCCTGTAGGACTGAAATGTAGAAGTTTTCATGTACTTTTATGGAGCTGATTGACAAGAAAAATCATTATTTGAAAAATGATTTTTGTAATGTATTTTATAATAAACTAGAAATGTTGCTTGTATATTTGTACAATTCTAGCTAAAGTAATGAATTAACAGCCTACTGACTACAAATATTGAACTTTCTTTCTAATGCTTAAACTTCATTTACATGCACATCATTAACGACTAATGTGAAAACCCTTTTCAGCTAATTGAAGCAAAATTTAAATATTTGCTTATTAGACAAGTCATATGTTTCAGGTATCCAGATATTGATGTGTTCATTCAATATTTCAGCAATATATTTTTATTTTAATACACATTAGATCTGTAATATCAAAATCTAAAACATAAAATGATCAAAAATTAAAAAAATAGGATTTTTAAATCCAGTTATGTAAAACGAATTTTGTTTTTGATTGAAATTTTACTTTCAGATGTCTATATTAGATAGCATTATCAAGGAAAGCAAAGAGAAAAGACTAACCTTTACTGTAAGACAGAAGTTCATGCATGGTTATCAGTAAAAGAGTATGTTCAAGTTGTGAGCTACATATTAGGAACATCAAAATTATGTGCAGAAATTTAACTATGTGAGAAATGTAGTAACTGATGATTAAAAAAAAAAAAAAAAAAAAAAAAAAAAGACACAAATGCAAAGGTGTAGAGGAATAGCAAAAGCTGCAGGAGCTGAGATTAATATCATCCCATCCTCTTGGACCAATAGAACATTAATTTGGGACAACTGGTTATATTTTTTTTTTAAGGGATGATGCTAGAATAATTCAAAATCCTCAATTAAAATAATTTCACTCAGAATGGTTTATAATTTTTTTAAGGATGGCTCTGGGATGATAGTGAAAAACGTTAGCTTGAAGCCCTGAAAAGATGTATTTCAGAAGCTAAGGCTATTAAAGGATATGAAAAGGTCCATAGAAACAAAGCAAAGAATGTTGAACTGCTATGTAATATAGCATCTCCTATATGGCAGTGAACAGTTTACAATCTTCTCACTGATAAGAAAAGAGACTTTAGCATTAGAAATACAGTTTTACTGATGAATTAACACTTACAGGTTATATTGAAAGTAAGAGAAAGAAGGATACAGAAAATAATCTAATCAATTATTTTGAACAAATAAATGAAAAGACAAAAGAAGAGTAGTAAATGAGCAAGAATTACAGTAATAGAAGATAGGAAGTTGTGGAGAGTCATGATCACCCATTTCATATGGAAGAAGAGTAAATTACATTGTTTTCAGACTGGAAACAGATTTCTGGAATAATATTAACAAAACATTATCAACAATTTTAAATGAATAATAGTAACTATAAGTAGTATAAATACAATTACACTGAAAATTCTGTCTCATATATATATATATATATATATATATATATATTTAAGCAAATGCTTTGTTTATAATAAACAGTATTAATAACATTTACTGGCCTGAATATCCAAGAAATCTCAAAGAAAATATATGTCCTCTGACAGGAATTGAACCTATATCCTACACAGTACCGTCATATAGCACGACATACTATACCATTTAGCTACAGAGGAATCTTCTGTCAGAAGACACATTTTCTTTGAAATTTTTCAGAAATTCAAGTAGTTAAATGTTGTTAATATGGCTTATTATAAACAGAGCATTTACTTAGATAATTGTAAATATAAAAATAACAAAAAATATATTAAAATAATTGTCGGACTTAGTCCATTTCATAATATATCATGCCATTTGTTTATATTAAGATACACTTTGAGCAGATATGAGCATTCAAGAGAAATCATGAAATGTCTGTAGTTTAAAAACAGTACTTTAACCTTGCTAACCAGATGTTTCTTCTGTACCACGTCAGGCTATATGACAGTTCCATGTAGAATACAGGTTCGATTCCTGCTGGAGGACACATTTTCTTCAAGATTTCTCAGACAGTCAAGCCAGTTAATGTTAATACTGTTTATTATAAACAGAGCATTTACTTAAATGTTAGAAATTTTTTTCCTTTGAAGTATGTCAGCCATACTTCAAAAGCCACAAACTTTCTAACATACAAGGGATGTTTCAATTTATACTCTATAAATTTATGTGTTTGAAGAAAGAAATTTCCAATTGAAAGAATTGAGTATTTTTTTT